TCTCTCTCTCTCTCTCCAGTCCGTTTTCCGTTGTATTTGCTTGTTTTTATTGTATTTTGGTGTTTTGTTTGGGAGGGGGGGGGAGGGGGTTCTCTACCTTAGGTTTCGCTTAGTTTTTGCTCTTTTCCTTTTTACTCCATACGTCTTGAGTTTTCATGTCTTCCCGACAAAATGCAGACGCCACAAATGCACACATACACCCCACTAGTTTGTTTTGTCGTGTCGTATTATTTCATTTCTTTCTCGTTGCCCTGTCCGTGTTTGTCTTTCTCTCAACGACATCAGACATCAAAATCCAACAATAGATGACCTGATATGAGAACGTCAGTTCCGCCCTCAGCCCTTCAAGGTCTCGCTTGTACTGGTTTCGAACCTCAGCCACTGTGTTGTCATAGCTGGCTTCTAGCGTTTCGTCCGCCTGTTGCACGTGCTGACTGAACCTGGATTATTTCCGAGGAGTTTGCATAATGTATTCTTAACGTAGCGTTTGATATGCGCACAAACATATAAAATCAACATGCAAGGTCCATTTATATTAGTATACGAATTCGCATAACGTTGTTAGTACGAATAGATACCTCCGCCCCCACCCTCACCTCTCGAAAATAAAACAACTTAAAAGAGGGAAGACAGTAAGAAATAAACAGAAAAAGTCAGAAGAAACAGTGTAGCCGTTATTGAAATTAGATCAAGCAAATTATAAGCATTGCAGTTACCGCAGTACATGTCTTTACTTTCCCCACAGTTCCCCAAACCATCTTTTCTTCCTCTTTGAAAACACAATTAATTTTCTCCTCTCATTCTCATGGTTAAGCCCCCTAAACTTACCCCATCCCTTCACCCTTAAGGTACATATAATGCCAAGTAGCAACCGACGAGGACTCACCTTGCGTTAACTGCCTCCACCTCCTTCAGGTAGCCCTCTTTGTAGCTCCTAGCTTCCCCCTCCAGCCTTTTGCCTATCCGTTTCTCCTGAAGCAGCTCTGAGCTCAACCGCTTCACGTCTTCTTGGCTTTCGTGAAAACTTCGGGAAGTGCTCTCCAGCTCTGCCTGATACAGCAACAGAAGTAACCCTCCGTGAAGATTACACACACAACATAATATGTTTACCTTAGATCACAGAATTCTACACTCTGTGCCTTAGATTTCTTTTCAACGAGTTGCACCTTGTCGCAATCTATTTCCTTTATCTGGCTGTAATCCGTTAAGTTTTACTAGTGATATCTCAGACTCATACTGAGGCGGTGTTTTAAAGGGGGAAACAATATACAAGAGTCTGGATATCTGGAAAAAGGTGGGAAGAATATCTTTCCGAATACATCAGTTTTATACAATCGATTCAAGTAAGTTCGGAGAAATGGTACAAAATCAAGACATTTGCTCATGCATAATGTGTGCATGGCGGAATGAGAAATTTCATACAACACGATCTCCAGCCACTATTTCTTGCATTTCAGAGACCTGGAAATATGTTGACTACTTGTATTTCAAAAAAGGCTCACCGAAACACCATTTTTTAAACAATTATATAGTTGTGTATTCTCTTACAGGGCGGCAAGCATAGGACAATTTAATATTATAGTCCAATTTTAAAAGTGTGCATAATTAGATGCTTACTTACCCTGGGTTAGTATGCTTTCCTGAAACTGTGGAAAATAATGGGTGTAACCCAGTAATAAAAACCCTTTTTCTACGGTAATACATAATATGGCGAGGTTTACTCTCATTGCCGATGCGCTCTCAGTTTGCATTGGTGATGGGGCTTAGTAACCAGACAAAGCATGACAGGGTTTTACATTGGCCTATTTACACATAATTTCGAGCTCACCTTTAGACGGTTACATTCGTCTGCCAGGTCCAACGGGTGCTTGAGCTTTTCGGTCAAGGTCACCAGCTGTGCCTCGTTTTGGTTTAGTCTCTCCTCAAGAACGATTTTTTGTAGGTTCATCTCTTCGTGCTCAGTCTCAAGACGACTTTTCGCCTGCGAATATTTATTTTTGTCATTTCAGGAAGACAGACAGATAGACAGACAGACAGACAAACAGATGATTCGTTGATTGATTGATTGATTGATTGATTGATCGATCCCTCAGTCGATCGGTTGATCGTTCAGTCGGTTGGTCGATCGGTCGGTCGAAGAATGGATATGTGAAAAGACGAGCAAACATACAATCACACTGATAGACGACATGATACAGAAACATACAAACGCGTTCAGACGTAGCACGAACCTCGTTGGCTGAGTCAAGCATCTCCTGCACACGTCTGAGCTCCGCCGCTTGCACAGTCCTCACGTTCTGCGTCTCACGTCTCACCAGATCATATGCCGCCTCCAGTTGTAGCTTCAGTCTGGCGTTTTCGCCCTGCAACTGGCGTACGTGGTCGGCATGAGACCACAGCCTGTCGTTTAGAACCTGAAATTTGAGGCATGAGAAGTATTCGGCAATTCTTTTTAGATGTATTATTATACATTTGGTTTCAACCTAAAATAAGGGGTGCAGTGTTCATCACAGTACTCTGATGGCTGTGGTGAAGTTCATTGTATCTCAATACAGTATTTCTAAATCGTTTTATTCTCGTTTATGTTTTAGTAGTCTTTTTCGCTAAATTTTGTTCCTGCTTTCAGAAATTTTGCAATCTATTGATTGATTTTTATCGAAGTTGCATTCTACTAAATCTCAAATTAAGACAATAAGAAAATGTATGGGTAAATTGTTTGACCCTACCGAATATCGAAGGAAGGGCGTGGCTTATAGGGCGACATCGTCGTAAGAAGACAACAAAGAGAATGTCATAGCTATTCAAAAGTGAAGTAAACAACGCAGACCTGCTGACCGCAAACTATGGCAAACTACTGCGATCTGGACCGGACGACGATTTAACAAATCATGTGTTTTTCTTCTTTTTCGTCGGTTGCTGTTTCATCCGAAAACGCATAACTTGACTACACGTATTATTATTTTTTTGAACCTTCAGATCATGCTGCTCTCTCTGACAGAACATTCTGGCAGGGGACGGACTCCTGGAGTGACAATGGCTACGACGACCAGACAACCGAGACAGTGACTTGGACTGACGGGGGACCAGGCTGTGAGATGACGACCCTTGTTCAAGGCCGGATGGGGAGGGGCCCGGATCTGCTTCAGTCGGGGACTTGCACTCGGGGATGTGGGCAGCAGTATCTTCAGGAGAAACACAAGAGACAACAATTGCTGACAAAACATATCCGATAGAATTACTATACATGTAATCTATTTCGGCTATCCATCGATGTTGATGATGACCTAAGCAGTGTGCACGATACAGCTTTGCCATGGAGGAAAACATAGAGGAAGTGGATTGTCCAAGCACTACTCCCCTCGCTCCTGATCTTGTCTTCCTTGATGCGCTCCAAAGGAGAGACATGGTCAATGCGTTTGAAATCAAGGATTATGTAAGGAATGTGTGGCTATTTAACAGGTGTTATAGTTTTGGTGGACAATTTAATTTTTGAAATGTTACCCAAGTGGCAAAAATAATATTACAGCATTGAGTTCAGGAGAGGTGCAACGACACGATGTTAATCATACAGATCCATTGTCACCACGGTGTCCATTTTTGTAATACGTGTACCACGTGTGTTCTAATGAAACTGTCACCTCTCTTGCGCTGGGGCTCTCTAACAGGCACTTTGTGATTGAGAAGCTGCCTGTACTGTACAAAATGCATTGCCCATGGGTGACCAGAGCTATACACGTGATGTCACACACGCCCTTGGACCGACTTCTCGGATAATTAGAAAAGCCTCACTCTCACAGGGCAGCTCGCTGCAAAAATACCCCCCCCCCCCCTAAAAACAACATACAAACAAATATTTTTTAAAAACCAAAACCAAAAAACCCCCAAAATAACAAATCCATCAATTAGCCTACCCCCCTTTTCCACATACAAAATAAATACGCACACAAAAAACAAACAAAACAAACAAAAATACAACAACAACAACAAAATTTTAAGCCATCAATAATTGTCCAACCTGTACAGAACAAAGTCTTACGGAATCACAAAGCACCTGGCGCGTTGAGCTCACAGCCACCGGTGGGGCAATTCGTGTTTATACCAAAACTAATGATTATGGCATGGTTAACAACCTTCGAAGTTGTCAGTTACCACGGTGGTTCCTCGCGACCACATGCTGAAGAAATTTTAAACAGAGCATGCCCACCGAAATGTCGAGTAAAGGTACTGTATCTCGAAGAGAGGATTGAAAAATATTTTTTTCGGGGGGAAGGGGGTGGAGGGGCAATTTTAGTCTAAAACCTAAAAGTCACAATACCAGAATGCAGTTAAATGTATGTTCTGAGCCTCTTTGAGTTAACACAAAATTAAACCCAGGTTTCGAATTTTGTGAGTAGAACTAGAACATACAAGAATCGGCCAAAATCCAACCAGCAGCGACATTTCACTCAAACTCTGTTAAGACTGAAGTTTTTCTAACGATGGATTTATATTTCTTTGCAATTCCACTGCGCACATACCTGCTCCACTGCCATGCAACGCTCGCACAGAATGGCGTAGCCTGCGTCGTCCCTTTCTTTTCTTTGTTTCCATAGCAACTGTTGACATAGCACAGATCTATCAATTAGTAATGTTTTCCCTTATATTGTTCTTCTGGTTATGTTTTCTACGATATCATTTACCGGTGGGCTTATATTGAAAGACTGTCTGTCTGTCTGTCTGTCTGTCTGTCTGTCTGTCTGTCTGTCTGTCTGTCTGTCTATCTGTCTGTCTGTCATTGCACACATTGTCCGCTGCATAGTTCAGCAATAGTGTGTGTACAAGTAGATTAAAGCAGAATATGAATTCTTGGAGTTAACTGCATTTTTCTCCCATCTCACCAGTTCTCTGACGAGGAAAAATTGACATGGTCCTTCCTTTGAAGAGAAACGAGAAGAGAGTCAAAAACTTTCTTCAGCAGATCTGCAGTTAGAGTCCTGTTATCGCGGGAAGCAGTTTTTAAAAGGTATTAATTAATCAATTTATTAATTTATTAATGTATTTATTTATTCCTTCATGCATTCATTAGTGTATTTACTCATAACTTTTGCCTTCTAAATTCATTTATTCATTTTTCTGCACTTTTTTCGGGGGGGGGGGGTGGATCTCCTTATGCTCCCTTGCCTCTAAGTCTAAAGAACAGTATCCCATCACCACTCCCTCCCTCAGCCCAAGCCCTCTTCTGAAACTGTCCCTATCAAAACGTGCAATGTGAAGTACTGTATTAGAAATTCTAGAAAGCGCTGGATTCGGAATCACTTCCGAATTAAGGCCGGGAACAAGAGCACAGTATCAATTTAATGACGCTCTTAATACATTGAAATAGACCGGGATGTGCAAATAATCATGTCAGTAGTGAGCATGTTGATTTCGAATGATATTTTCCTCAATAACTCGAAAAGTATCTCGATATTAGCTCTCAAATGCTTTAGTAACATAACGCTAAAGAGGGTATGTCATAATAATACGGAATTCAAAGCATTGTAGTTATCCGTAAGTGAGTATAGGCTTACTTGATAAAACTTTTGCAAGACTGACCTGTCCTTTCCTTCTAACAGATATGATTGACCTCGTTTATCTATCTAATCTAGATCTAATCTTTTAGACAAACATACATAGACCGAATTGTCTATCAAATGATAGGCCTATCAAATAGAGACGATAATTATAAAAGTCACTGGATCTAGATTTAGATGTAGTTAGCAGTGACTGCGTGTTATATCGGTCAGCGATATAATGCGTTCAGTAAACTAGATCTAGTAAACGTTTTTACGTACAAATTAATGAGCCCAGCTTTCGAAAACTTGTTTTCTTTCTTTTCTTTTGATTTTACCTAACGCAGGACATTTTGTTTGTAAACTGAATTCGGTGCCTGTGGTTAACTTGTTGATTTGTCATTATGAAATGTTTGTACAAAGGGTGACCTTATTTAGGCCACATATGGCCTAAATAAGCTAAACCCCCCTCCCTTATCTTATTTGGGCCACAGGTGGCCTAAATAAGCTAAACCCCCCTCCTTTACCTTATTTAGGCCACACCTGTGGCCTGAATAAGCTAAACCCCCCCTCCCTTACCTTATTTAGGCCACACCTGTGGCCTAAATAAGCTAAACCCCCCTCCCTTACCTTATTTAGGCCACATATGTAGTCAAAATAACCAAACCAATGTAAAGCATTGTTTTCTTTACAAGTTACGTTATTATCTCTTTAGAACTCTTCACATCCATTTTCCTTCACAGCCGTATCGTACATGACATGTGATGTAGAATCAATTTAAGGTCCTTGGAAAGGTGACCAGAAAATAACAAAATTATTTTATGATCTTCACTTGCACTTGCAATTTTTTGGACAAATTAAAGTCTACCTAATTATATTTTTCCCCCTCATTTTTCTTCACTATAAATGACAACTGGCATGTATTGTTTTCAGTTATTATCAAGAAAGTGGACAGGCGGACTACGGGGTCTATCTAGCCAAAAGGATAGGTGGACCCCGGGGTCTACCTAACAAAATGTTAGGTTTTAGGATGTGAACCCCGGAGTCAGCGTAGTGAAATAAGTAGATCTAGGTTTAGCTAAGGATCGGTGGACCCCGGGGTCAACATAATGAAATAAGTAGATCTAAGTTTATTTTATAATAGGACTGGCAGAGCCCGTGGTCAAAGTAGTGAAATTATAAGTAGATATAGGTTTAATTAAGGATTGGAGGACCACGCGGTCAATGTAGTGAAATCAGTAGATCTAGGTTTAATTAAGGATTGGTGGACCCTGGGGTCAATGTAGTGAAATAAGTACATGTAGATAGATCTAGGTTTAATTTTTAGGATTGGTGGACCCTGGAGTCAACGTAGTGAAATAGGTAGGTTTAAGGTGAACCCCAGGGTCTACGTAACGAAACACTAGTTAGGTTTTAGAATAGGTGGATCCTGCGGTCACCGTAGTAAAATAAGTAGGTTTAATCAAGGTGTCCCGGGGGTCCACCAATCCTTAATTAAACCTTCTTAATCCTCTATGGCCTTGGTGACTCCGGGTTCCACCAATCTTTAAAGAAACCTACTTATTTCACTGCGGTGACCCCAGGGTCCACCTGTCCTAAAACCTAGTACCAATCCTTACTTAAACCAAACCTTATTTCACTACGGTGACTCTGGGGTCCACATCCTAAAACCTAGTATTTCGCTATGCAGACCCCGGAGTCCACCTATCCTCTACAGGACTATACTATTATTATCAATTTGCAATTTTCATTGATTAGCATTTTTGTTTAAATATAATATTGAATCAGAGTGCAGGGGAGACCGAGGCGCCCGGTCGATTCGGTGGTCGGCTTTTGTAGATCTATGCATTTTTTACGGGAAGCCGTATTACCTAACCCTATTACTAGATCTATTAGTGTTGTGAAAACTTCAACCTCTACAGCTCAGGCGTCAAAAGATGCTGGTAAATAATAATAGATCTACGTCCTGAAGTTTCATAATTTATTTTTATACAGAATAACACAGTACACAGTCAGTAGTTTTTATTTCATCGAGTTATAAAAATGGCCTTCGTATAAAAATTGCCTTGTTTTCAGAAGCAAGTTTTAATAGTTCTAGTTCTACCTAATCGATTTTCATGCGAATTCAACCATTTTGATGATCTTTCTTTTCCTTTTAAAAAGATGTAGATCTAGGCCTGTCGGATGTGGCAGTGCAAATAGCACTGAGTTGTTTAGATCTAGATCTAGATCTAGACCCATCAAAACACGAAGCTTCGTGGCCGATCACAAAAGTCTACGGGGCTTATCGAGGCCGATTCGCCCTGCCGCGAGCACGTTCACTAAACTGCCTACTAGATAGAATCTACTGCCAAATATTCTCTACACGATCTTTGCTACTACTACTACTAGGCCTACTAGCCTACATGTACTACTACGAGACAGTACGAGAGAGTGTCACTCAGGCAAAGATAGTGTAACTTTGACTCAGCCACGTAATATACACACTTTTTATACCCCAAATTTAACCCGAAAGTCCATTCGGAGGATTTGACCTTTTCACTTGACCAAAGTGTGCCAAAATGGTAGCCTAGCTTTTGCCCCTCCATGAAGGAAAAATCCGGCCCTCATTCAAACCATTGGAATTGAGCAAAATTTTGCGTTTTGTGCTTTGTTCTTTACAATATTCATTATGGTTATGATTTATAAGTTGTACACTGAGGCAAAACCATACTAAATGAGAAAGGGGCACCATTATGAAAGTGAAATGAACTCAGTTGCCTGAAAAGGGTAGTTTGAACATGTGTGGCCTAAATAAGCTAAACCCCCCTCCCTTACCTTATTTAGGCCATATGTGGCCTAAATAAGCACTCCCTTGTACAAAAGTGTTATTTTAAGCCTGGGCATTTTAGAAAGTGCTTCATTTTAAAGTGGTATAGAGACCGTATCTTCTTCCTATCACGGAGGGTCGAAGCAGTCCGCCCCCCTTCTAAAAAGCAAAAGGTTTAAAACTGTGTCGATGGGGTCGTAAGCCGTTACAATTAATCTAGATTATCTAGATTCTAGATTATCTAGATCTAGATCTAGATCTAGATTAGAAATCTAGAATCTACTTGTTTTAATTAACCTACGAAACAAAAATGTACAGACAACTCACGAACTTGCCTGTATAACGGAGTCACTCTGTAATTCAGAATTAAAAGATCGCTGGTAGTCTACTGGGCTGTTTTTCTCGAATTCTAGTCAGGCCTACCCAGTGGGAAATAGATCTAGGCCTAGTTTGGGTTAATTGGTTAATAGATTATTTTGATAACAATTCAGCTTAGAATAAAATAGAATCTTTCTAAATCTAGGCCTATTGTGTGTTGCTAATGGTTCACGCAATGCTGTATCTCCACGTTTTCTTTGAGTACGCATCAGTGCCAAAAAGCGCACCTCTGCACATTTATGCTGCGTAGGCTACTCATTTCATGTGTTGAAAAAACAAAAACAGCTCTGAATTTAAATTTTTAGATTTACTTTTAATTTATGCATTACAATAGTGTATCGCTTCAACTGCACACTCAGCGCTGACTTGAAACAAAACCATCAGGTTTGGTTCCAAAGGGTTGAAATTTGGGGGTAGATGTTGTCCAACGCCTACTGTAGCCTATAATTACAGTAAGCGTTGGTGTTACTCCATCCATGCGAGACCTTAGTGGTTCAGATGGTCAGGGTAGTGTGGGTATGACTATGAAATCTCATCGGTGCCTGTGAAATTGCTCGAACGGCGCTCCAGCACGCAAACTTTCAGGAGTAGCCAGAGGTGTGAAATTAGTTTGACTCTTGACCATCATCATCATTATCCAGTGCCAGATTTGCAACAGACATCGGCGATCATGATTCTCCATTCAATCCTTTGCTCTGATGCTCTCAAAAAAGCTACGTTTCCCTAATCTTTCCCTGTTACCCATTTGTTTAGGTTCCGCAAGTATGGGGGTTCTGGGCCTTCCCCTGCCTCGCTTGCCCTTCCATGACTCTTGACCAAGGAGGTTTTTACCAAAGATTGTGCTGTAGAGAATCTTTGGTTATACATGTATTGCAAGGTCCTGCCACAGATCGCAAGGCCAGCCGAGAAAAAGTTCCTCGAATTGTTGTTTCACACACGGGTGAGGTGGCATTGATTGACTGTGCTTGTTACACCAATGGGTGGGGCAAAGGTAGAAGCCAATGAGATGTTCAAACATTTCTGTTTTTAATAGGTCAAAAAGTGGTCCTGTGAAATGCAAGCACTGGTGGCAATTGGTCGCTTTAAAGCACAAGGGGGCTATCCCGAAAAATGCTGTTTTGAGAAAATCGAAGCTAAAGTTTTTGCTCCTTGTTCAGTTTCTTTAAAAGACAAGAAAAGTTTTCTCTATATAACCAAACAAATATACACTCCAATGAAACCAAACTTCTCCTATAGGTAGGACAATGCCCACTCTTGGTGTAGGTCAATATTTTTGGAAACCCCCGAAATCTGGGTTAGCCCGCTTGTCCTTAAAAGCGACCAATTGATAAGTAAGACTCGAACGGAGGCATACCATTACCAGAGAGTACAGCGCTTGAGAGGTGTGAAGTTTTGACCACAGCTACCCTTGATCTCACCGGCTGGCTAGGCCCCTGAAATCTCCCTCTAAATTCTCCAAAGACGGAAAATGTCAAAGACGGAATATTTTTTTCTAGTTCCCTTGCGATTCCGTTTTACACAGGTTTGACTGTATATGCAGCCCTTTTTCCCCTGTTAAGAGAAGGCAACGCTAAGATTCTTTTTCCAATACTGCTTTAAATTAGTCATTGCCATGTTATTACTCTCATTGTCTGTCTTGATCGCTGTCCTTCTGCTTGTCTCCCCACCCCAACCCCTCCTCTCTATCTGTCTCTGGCTGTGCCGGTATGTGTCTGTATGCGTCTGTTGTCATTTTATTTAATTAATATTACTCTTCTTTTTTTTTCAATTTGTTTTCCCAACGTCGTGACATTGGAGATTCATGTCTGTTCTGAAACGGTTGTATTGTAAACGTAACAGTGATTTGCATACCACACTATTTTCCCTGAGGAAAAAATCTTTGCGACAATATCTCAACTCTCAACAGAGAGATCTATAAAGTGCTCTAAACAAACCTACAAATTCCTCAGTCAAAGGCATAATAAAATGCCCCCCCCCCCCCAAATAGTAAAAAAAAAACAACCCACATAGTCCACTCTGTGCCACAGCTTTTGATCTTACAAGGACTATTCATCTGTTTATCTTATTTTTCCTGGTTACATTTAACCAACTCAGAACAGTAAAAAGTACAAGGAGGTCATTGGCCATCATATGCACTCATGTCAATGATTGTCCAGCCTATCAACACTATACGATAAATTGATTATCTTAGGAAGACTTGGGTTGTTTGGAGAACGCCTTGACTTCTACGAGAAAAAAGAGGCAACCCATGAAAGTGACCAAGTTTTTTAAAAGTTTCAGTAGGAGTTTTACGGCACTTGAAACACAAAAAAGTCATAATATAAGTGCCGAAGATTAGATGTGTTACAAGAGAGTAACATATAAAAAATGAGGAGAGATAAGAACGATATATGTTAGATAGTGATAGGAAAAAACGAGCAAACCACACCAGAGCACCTTCCAGAATGTGCCTCAACAATAGCCTTTGGTCAGGCAGATAATATATATATATCTATTTTTTAAAATACATTTATATGCCAATATAGGCAGCTACATTTTTGTCACGGAGTGAAGGACCACACAAACAGATACAGGAGGGTATGGCGAGAACTAAAAGTCTGTCTCATCGGTACTGCAGTATAGCAAAGTAGAGAATGGTGTAGCCCCAGAGTCAATGCTCATTTCAATTTTCGACAAAGAGTTCTTACACTTACAGGAGTGGGTAGGACATCCGACATAACTTTCTTCTCTGATCGTACCGAGTCAAGTGGGTGGAAAGCCCTGAAAATGATTTTTTCCTTTCAATCCATGCTCCAAAAATGGTTCAAGCAGTTAACAAAGCACAGCAATTTTTTTCCTCAGACAGATGGCTTTCAAAAGAAAAAATCATAACAGCTTGGGTGGAGAAAAACCATGGCAGAGATTAAAAGATGATGGGAAAGAAGAGAATCTGCTTATTGCACCCATCGACCGTCCACGGCCATCCACAAATTAAATGCTAAAATATGGTCTACTCACAAGTGCACATCATAGAAACATAATACATGAGGCACTGTGGTGAAATCAGGCGTTCGTCAAATACTGAAATCGAAAGAAACGCATTTCTCTGTCCATTAGGCAATTTTTAACGAATTTCTTTTTTTGACTCAACACCTTTAAGGTCTATTTAAAAACATTTCTGAGGGTTTTTTAAATTGAAAAATGTTAATTAAAGGAACAAAAATGTAAATTTGCAGTTTCTAAGCTAATGACTCTTAAGCTTTGGAATTCGCAAAAGTTTGGCTGGGGGCTCTCGTTACCTTGAGGTTAAAGTGTTCGTTTCTCATTCATTTGGTCCCGTGTTCGAATCCGGATAGAGACGGACATTTTTCTTCTCCAAAAATTGTGTCCTTACACCTCCGTTCCTGCTCTCTGGCAATGTTCTGTCGTCTGCTTTCGCCTCCACTTTCTGCCCCCATCCATCACCCCATTGCCCCTCCTCTGGGCTCCAGACTCTTTCTACAGACCTACTGCTACTCCCTGGCTCCTTCGTACAGCTGTCTTTCAGCCACACCTCTGATCTTATGGAAGGCAAGATCTCCACCTAGCTTTCTCAGACACGAGCGAAAAATCTCGGAGGTCCCGTGTGCAAGTTGGCCACGTTTAAGAGTGGTCCTTAGTGGTCCAAAATCAATAAGAGTGGGCTTCGGTCGCAACCCGGGCAAAATTCAAAATTTCCAACCAACCAACTTACTTTACTATACTTTTTCCTTTTTCTGGTATCCTTAGGATGTCAAGGGGAAGTGCAGGTTTCGGTTCTATGCTAGGTGTGTAGCGTCTGTGATAGATATGTTATGTTGTTCCAGGAACTTTTTAACCCCATCCAGCTTGGACTTCCTTGGTCTTCCTCTTTATTTGAAGCAGGATTCTCTGGTGTTGTAAGCTGTAGCCGCTAGTTGTTTCTGGTGCATTCCTACTAACCGAAAATGTTAAATGTGTCCCGGCGCCCAAATGACCATATGCAGTTGCAAGCGCTGTAAAACACTTACAAAAAAAAAACAACAAACAACAAAACTTTGGCTGCCATGTTTTAGCTAATTTTACCTCTAAATCCAGGCAACCCCCATCTCCTTCAGCCGCAAATATCTCGACTTTTATTCATGACAGATGAGTATTTTTTCCACTGAAAGCAAGACAAATGAACAGAAAATGATACCAATAACTCCATATGTCCAAAAATTGGTAAGTGCCGGATTCCACCACAAATGTGAAGCATTGTAATGAAATAATGAATTCAATGAAACTGGTATTTTCCCGCTCGTTTTGTAATTTTTATCACATGCTTGTTTTTTTGGCTCATCACTTTTTATGTTATCATTTATTTCTGTGTGGAATTTACAGAAAAATGTTTATTAAAAGCACAAAAAACCCCAACAACTTTAGTAGTCAGTTTCTAGCTTATTTTACCTCTGAAACCAGACAACCCTCACCTCCTTCAAAAGCAAATATCTCAACTTATTCAAGATAGTTGGGCATATTTATTATAACAAATGAACAAGTTTTAAGATGAAAACAACTTCATAATACGGTATGCTAAAAATTGATGAGTGCCTGATCTGCTGCGTCATGACTCACTGAACTTTGGCACACTTGTTAAAAACGAATTTCATATTATGCAACAAACCTCAACAAAGATGTCACAGAACTCAGAACAGTATGTAAGAACAAAGAAATTGAAAAACACAATCCAAAGCTATGAGCAGAGGGGGAAAATGTTTATTAAATCATTACTGGCAAACACTTGCACTGAACATTCTCTCATCACAACATCGACTTTCACGACAACAAGATATGTCATCAATGATTTATTGTTAGCCTTAAACTCATCTAGATGTGTAAAAGTCTTGAAAATTTTTACAACACCGGAGAAACAAATTGTTCTTCCTTAACAAGATAAGAAAAGCCTCATCTGCTCCTAAAAAGACAAATTTTAACCTCAGAGACAAAAATTCTGTCTATCCTCCGACACTGCAACATTTCAATTACTATCAAATTCAGTAACATTTGACATGTCCAAAGCTGAAGATTGGCTGGTCTTCAAATTTGAAATACAAACGGTCTAAGGGACAATTAAGGTCAAAGCCCCCAAAGTATTTCTACATCATAATTAATGCACAAAATTTCCCTCACACAATCAATCTTCATAACATGATCAGTCGCTGCTTTCAAAAACATTCCACAAATAATAAAAGGAAACATTTCAAATATCACAATTGTACGCCAACACTCATTTGCCTCACTTGTTGTATATATCAGAGACTGCTCAAGCTATGCGTTTGATAACACTCATTATGGAGGTGATAAACAAACGGAAATAAATCATTGTCAAAGCACCACCAACCATGCTTTGTACCGTATCCTCACATGAAATTAAAAAAAGATAAATAACAAATACTATATAGACAGAACTATATGCACCAAGTACCTGCAGAGACTGGTGGTGAATATATGAGGTAATAAAAAGCTGCAGCCAGATCAGTAAATTTATTCCAACAAGATAGACTTTGTATTGAACATAGCTGTGCAAATACAATGATTGCATAACTAAGGCCATTGCTTTAACACCAAAAGCCCCAAAGAATTTATACATCTGACTGTGAACCCAACCAAGCTTTCCTGACCCAAAAAGATAAAAGTAATAAACTAAAAAAAATATATATATATAATAAAAATAATATGTACGTATATATCAAGTGATGTGGATGACAGTAAAAGTAAAAGTTAAAGTCACACTATGACTTCAGTGAAAGAAGACAGGACTACCCCTAACTTCATGCACTATGTCATTATTTCAAAGAGATGACAGTAAATGTTATCAAGTCAGAACTTTGGAAATTTACTTAAGAAAATTCACTGAGACCAAAGTGCATTTCATCACATCATATTGCAGAATCATTCTTCAAAACAACAAAAACGGGCAACATACCAGAAAACCTTCCTTAAACTATTTTAGCCACACACTTTCTCACAGACTAGAAATTTTAAACAATTCTTCCAAACCCTTCTAAATAAAGATAGATTAACATCTGCCCCCGCCCCGGCGAACTCTCAAAGAACAACAACATCGTGTCTCCAGATGTAAGGAAGATAATCAAGTTTACCTCAAAGAAAAGTACCATTAACTTCCCTTTAGGATGCTCACAATATTTGTCCTGTGTTCCGTCTTCCCTAACCAATAATACTAAATCAAATAGCATGCGGACGCAAATTTACAACTTATGGAAGGATCATGCTGCTAGGTCCTAACTTACAGAACTATTTCATCCATATAAAAAAATGAAGACTTGAATAGAAGAAAAAGTTACAGGCACCTTTAACACAGTTTCCTTATTATTACATGAAACATGTTTGCAAGAAAAAGACAACATTCATATATGAAATGCCATATGTGCATTATCTTACAGTCCCACACCATATATATATATCATTACATACATGATGACTTGAGACAAAGAGAAGCACAAAAGACTTTGAAGATGACTCTTAACAGTTATGACAAAACAAAAACAATTTGCATACAGGAGAAAAGCAAAAGCTTACCAAAACATATCAAATGTACATGTTAATGTTAAGTGACTTAGTATTCAAGTCCAACCGAGTATCATTCAATAAGCTGCATTTTTTTAAAAGTAAAATAAATTATTTCCTCAACCCAAACTAAAAAATAATTTCTCATTTCTTGCATAATAGTACTAAAAAACAGTAAAACATTGAACTTATTCAAACTTATATACTAATTTCTTATTTCTCATTCTGCATTCACATGAATGGTAAACTGCACCAATCTTCATTAGCTTTCTGATCACAATCCTAACATGTATACTGAACACAACCCATTATTAAAAGAAGACAAAAATGTTACTTCCACAGTCCCTCATTTCAAAGGGAATAAGGGGTAGCCCTGCATTATTAACATGTGCCTTCATTCAAAGAAAAACAAAATATACCTATTCAAATATAAAACTCTCAAAGTGTTTTGATCTCCGCTTCAGTAAGATTAAAACAGTGATGCAGAAAGTGGCACGAAAAACAAAACTTTTTTAGCTTCCTTACAACAAATAACGTTTTAAAAGACTCCCAACTTTTCATCTAAGTATGCAATGGCAAATCTTATTGAAAATAAAAGTAGCAAAACAAAACACACATTACAATCTGATCTATATTGAGGCCAGAATACTAATACTGAAAGAGATCACTACTAATTTTTCTTTTAATGGGGAAAGTATAGACAAATCTTCAAGATAAAATGAGATTATGTTAGACGTGTACTTCTGTGCTTTTTCACTGATTTAATTGTGTTGTACTGCAAGCTGATTCAGCTACTTACATAAGAAAAAAATATGACATTATATATACACTTTTACCTTCTAGAGCAGCCCCTGACTTCAGAGTAATTTCAAAGGACTTTCACTCTTCACGGTCAGTAGTTTTTAATCAAAAGTCACAATCAGGAATATAGTTTACTATTCCACAAAAAGTACAACATGAACATAAATCACCACAAACCAGTGATCTGCAAGAAAGTCCTCTGACAATACCAGTGATAGCCGAGAATAACACTGCACAGTAGGTCAAATATAGGCGTAGAGCTGCTGTTGCTTAGGAAGCCCACATCTCCAGCTCTCTCATGTCATCATCCTCCTCCTTGGCACGCGCTGAAAGACACACAAACAAACAAAAATTTTGTTTCCTGAGAAAGAAACATAAAATCTCATGTTCTGAAATAGATGGATGAAACAACAGAACCTTGAAAAGTATAACTACTATAACTCTTTTAAGGGAAGACATGGATTTTGATTCACATTCTTTAGGTCAAATTGGTGATGAAATATCAGGGGGGGGGGGGGTCATTTTTTAAAATCTCTAAATGGGAAAAATACATCGGAACAGGTTATTGGTCATGAAATTATCCTCTGATGAAACATTCAGTTTTAACATTTGCACAAAAAAAGAACCCTACATGTCATATACTTGTTATTTTTTTTACACATTCTCCAAATGTTAATTTTTAAGTGGAGTTACAATAACCAAGATGGCTCAAAATCTACCATTTCAATCTCTTTAAAATTTTGCATGCATGTTTGTAAATATTTGGTGCTCCTAATGTCAAAGCAATTTATGTAGGAGGGAGAGTGAGAAGGGGTGAGACAGAGAGGGAAAGAGAGAGAGAGAGAGAGAGAGAGAGAGAGAGAGAGAGACAGAGAACGACACCAAAGATAGAGAACTACACCAAAGCTAGAGAAAATTCATTATGGATGAACCTTAAGATAGAGGGGAAGGGGGGGGGGTGAGACAGAGAGGGAAATATAGAAAGAGAGAAGAGGAGAGTTGAGTGGGAGATGGAAAAGGACATTTGGATAAGGAGATAGAGAGAGAGAGGACTGGGGGAGTGAGAGGGGAGGGGCTGGAGAGTCAAACGGACAGGGAACGAGAGATATTGAGAAAAGGATTTGGGTAGGGGTGAATGGAAGAGAGAGAAAAAGAGAAAGAGATAGATAGATAGATAGACAGAGAAAGAGTGAGAGTGGGAGAGAGAGAGGGGGGAGTGGGAGAGAGAGAGAGAGGGGGAATGTGGAAGATAAAGACAGAGAGACAGAGAGAGAGGCGGAGAGAGGCATAGAAAGAGAGAGAGAATGGGGGAGAAAGAGAAAGAGAAAGAGAGAAAAAA